TACTATTGTGTTAACAATAGTATCTAAGGAAATTAACCGTAAGATAAACTTAACCAACGATTGAAAAACCGGCCCTTAATTTACAATAAATTTATATCAAATTTAACATTGGAATTCATGTTGGACTTTCTGATGTAGAGTAGGTATAGTACAGTTTTTTATAAATACGTGTTTTTTTCTATAAAAGAATGTCGTGTGATGCTAAATCGTGTTCTGTGTCTAAAACTAACAGAATATTAAATTCATATGGTATTTATTTTTAGTTTTATAGGTAGATGGCTTAAATAAAAGTTCAATATAAACAAATAAAGGTGGAAATTATTAAATATGCTGTTTACTCATTTTATACATACTTTTTTATTTAAATTAAATTTAAATTATTAAATAGCGGTGTATTTCTATCCTGGAAATCTAATTTTGCCTCTCCAGAGTCGTAAAATCACTTCACAGATTATAAAGAATCACTTATATTTCACAACCAAAACCTATTTATTTTGCTTCTCCAGAGTCGTAAAATCACTTCACAGATTATAAAGAATCACTTATATTTCACAACCAAAACCTATTTATTAGAATCTACCTACCAGGTACAGCCATAAATAACAAAACGATTCGTACGTCAAAACATTATTGCAAATCAATTGTCAAAATTACTTGCTTACTTCACATGTATTTGGTCAATTCTCATATAACTTGTTCCGATGCTGTATCCACTTATTTTTGTGAAAACTAATTCTCGCTCAAGGTTTTTTTTAGTGTAATAAGCATGTAGCATTTCAAGGTAATGGTATGTTCTGTGGGTAATGGGAACTTAAATTATGACAACCCTAATCTATTAATTTTTTCCTAAAATGCAGGCTTTATGTTGCAAATGTCACGTAAGTTACCGGTCACCAACTGCAATAACTAGAGGCTAAATGTAGCAAAGTATTCCTCAAGGTTATGACGAATAGCTGTCATCTTGGTTATGCAGGTACACTGCATTGTGACTTACTAAACCAACCCAAACTTAACAACCCAACCCAACCGACCCCGCCCCATTGGGCCCCTCCCGCCCCATTGAGCAATAGAGGTACCTATAATATATCTAAGGGCAGGCTGGATTGTGACAATGGGCGGGAGGGGCCCAATGGGGCGGGGTCGGTTGAGTTGGGTTGTTAAGTTTGGGTTAGTTTGGTATGGCACAATGCAGTGTACCTGCATAACAAAAATGACAGTTATTCGTCATAACCTTGAGGAATACTTTGCTACATTTCGCCTCTAGTCTGCAATATCCTAACCATGGAGCCTATACAAGGAGCCCGAACTTCATGTAAACAAGAATCTTCCCAAGATAAGAGGGCGCTGGTGTACAGTGGCTGACACGGAATTTTGAACGACATAACTTGGTTGTCAATGTATACATCTGTAAATAGCAAAGATACAATATTGAGCATTTTTGCTTTCGCTGTCAAAATTACAATACTATAGTGATAACCGAAAGTAAGGTTAGTTGTCCATAAAGAAAGTTTAGATTTTGATGTCAACGGGATGATAGTCGTTCAAAATTCCGTGTCGGCCACTGTACTACCGGTCCAAAACAGTAGAGTGGTATAACCAGAGATGGCGCCACTACCTACCACTTATTATTGTGGAAATAATTGAGGTTATGCAACTGTCAGTTTATCGCTTTCTGAAAACAATGTACCCATGTACCTGATTTTGTGTATAAAGGTCTTAATTTACAATAAATTTATATCAAATTTAACATTGGAATTCATGTTGGACTTTCTGATGTAGAGTATAGTACAGTTTTTTATAAATACGTGTTTTTTTCTATAAAAGAATGTCGTGTGATACTAAATCGTGTTCTGTGTGTAAAACTAACAGAATATTAAATTCATATGGTATTTATTTTTAGTTTTATAGGTAGATGGCTTAAATAAAAGTTCAATATAAACAAATAAAGGTGGAAATTATTAAATATGCTGTTTACTCATTTTATACATACTTTTTTATTTAAATTAAATTTAAATTATTAAATAGCGGTGTATTTCTAACCTGGAAATCTAATTTTGCCTCTTCAGAGTCGTAAAATCACTTCACAGATTATAAAGAATCACTTATATTTCACAACCAAAACCTATTTATTTTGCTTCTCCAGAGTCGTAAAATCACTTCACAGATTATAAAGAATCACTTATATTTCACAACCAAAACCTATTTATTAGAATCTACCTACCAGGTACAGCCATAAATAACAAAACGATTCGTACGTCAAAACATTATTGCAAATCAATTGTCAAAATTACTTGCTTACTTCACATGTATTTTTGATACTATTTTCACGTCGTACGGACGCATTGACAAACAGCGCCGCTGGTGGTGAAGAAAAAGACCTAATTTGTGCAATAGTGGACAGGTTTTGTCAATTTTCCCTATTAAGTTCGGGCTCCTTGTGTAGGCTCCATGATCCTAACATCGATAAATATTTCATCAAAATGGCCGTTCAAACAACTGTTAGTGCTTGATTAACTAAAAATAGACTTAAGATTGACACAAAATTATTTTATCCGAAATCGGCAGTAAAGTAGTCAACAATCGTAAATTAAAATAAATCGGCAGTAAAGTTCTACTTTACTGCCGATTTCGGATAAAATAATTTTTCGTCAATCTTAAGTCTATTTTTAGTTAATCAAGCACTAACATTAGTTGTTTCAACAGCCATTTTGTTAAAATATTTATCAATGTTAGGATATTGCAGTTGGTGACCGGTAACTTACGTGACATTTGCAACATAAAGCCTGCATTTTAGGAAAAAATTAATAGATTAGGGTTGTCATAATTTAAGTTCCCATTACCTTAAAATGCTACATGCTCATTACACTAAAAAAAACCTTGGGCGAGAATTAGTTTTCACAAAAATAAGTGGATACAGCATCGAAACAAGTTATATGAGAATTTACCATTTTTGATACTATTTTCACCTCATACGGACGCATTGACAAACAGCGCCGCTGGTGGTGAAAAAAAAGACCTAATTTGTGCAATTTAGTGGACAGGTTTTGTCAATTTTCCCTATTAAGTTCGGGCTCCTTGTGTAGGCTCCATGGGTACGGCGTTCGACGGCGTCAAATGTCAAACCAAAGTTGAAACAATACAAATGCATGATACCGCATGAATCATGCCAGGTCTCCCGTTTTAGCGGTAGATATACCGTTTTTGGAAACAATCTCCCGTTCTACCGCTATTGAAAAACATCTCCCGCTTTTTTTACTTCTTTTAATAAATAAAATTCACAAATTCTCCTTCGTATTATACAATTTATATGAACCAAAAGTAAAATATAGGTTGCCTAAACTAAATATTGATATGACACAATTAGTTGGTATTATTCACAGATGTCAGTGTCTCAGTCACGGGGTATTTCAGCCAACCAAATTTGTAGTACGCGAATATTCAAATTTGATTGGATGAAATTATTTTCCTTAGAAAAAGAAGTTAGTAACAATTAACAGTTTTGTTTGTTTTTGGTTTATCATATTTTGTTTTATTTTGATAAATTCAATCTATTTTTTTTGGTTACGTAAGTATTAAAATAGAGAAAACCATGGTATTAAAAAAAATTAAAAACTACCGTTTTTTATTCGAATCTCCCGCTTTTTTTAACTAAATCTGCCGCTTTAAAAAAAAACGACCTGGCATCACTGCGCATGATACCGCACACACAGAGATATGGAGGTGGGGAGAATGAGTGTCAATATGCGCAAACTTCCTAATCATGGGCGCCGCCATCTTCTAGGTTACTATACGAGGGGTAATTGAAAATGTTTTACCAGGGCTATTTCAAATATACGAGGAGCAATTAAAAATGTGTTATCGGGGTTATTTAAAATATAAATTTAAAATGTTTTTAACTTTAAAACGTGAAAAATATGCTATATAAAAATGAGAAAATGTTTTACCAGGGCTATTTCAAATATACGAGGAGCAATTAAAAATGTGTTATCGGGGTTATTTAAAATATAAATTTAAAATGTTTTTAACTTTAAAACGTGAAAAATATGCTATATAAAAATGAGAAAATTGTTGTTTTAGAAAAATACAATTATTTTTTATTAAAAAGATTGAATGTTAATCTTATATTATGTAAAAAATAAAAGAAAAAACTATATTTAATAAAAAATTGTAATTTTATTATTCATTTGTTTAAGTTTGGGAATTATTCAAATTAAATTTTAACAAAATATATTTTAATAATTGTTAAAATTTGTTATTTTATTTATTTGTTTAAGTATGGGTATTATTCAAATTAAATTTTAATAAAATAAAATAATTTAATGATTGTTAAAAATTATTTTATTCATTTGTTTAGGTTTGAGTATTATTCAAATTAAATTTTAATAAAATAATATATTTTAATAATCCTGGTATGATTGGTATGAAATAAAAGTTAAGTTGTTACTTAATAATAATAAATAATTCTTTATTCGTCGCAAAAAACATATAAAAGATAGTTAGGTACACCTCTATATACATATATGTATATACATTACAATTCAAACACATATTTTACATTACAACAATCGTCATACACAGTACTTATTAAAATAGAATCGTATATTTGTTTAAAACTGAAAATATAAAAATGTTTGACTTTAGATGCAAGATGATGGTTGTCTCCTCTAAGGGTAGTTGTGGCAATAGGATCAAGGGTAGGAAAAGGTTCTGAGTATTGCCAGCTTTACAATGGGAGATTAATAGAGTATTTATAGAGGCAAATATAATATAATGCAATAAAGATTAAAAATACATTGTAAAGCTGTAAAAATTTCCAGATGGGATTATAAACCAATTTGGAGGATTAAAAAATTTTCCTAAATCGAAATTAACAATGGACATAGTAAACTAAGTTAGAGAATTACTAAATTTCTCAAAGATTTAGGTTTTATGACGGTCAACGTGGTATAAAAACAATTTATGTACAAACATTACCAAATTATTATGTAAATTTTAACATATTACTGATGGTTAAACAATATTAATTTATTAAGCTGTCTCCTAACTGCATTTCCTTGAATCGTTTCTGTATGTTTTTTGGCTAAATTATAAAGACGTATTTTTGCATATGAACGAACAATATTTTTAACCAAAAGAAATCCATGATTTTCATCGCAAGGTGCAGATTCCAAAAAATGATTGTGTAAAATAGGAAAAAGATTATAAATATCAGTATAATATTTTTGTGCATTAGCAATGACAAAAATGTCCATAAAATTTTTTTCCTTGGGTATTTTGTTATCTGTTGATAGTAGCATATTCTTTATGGCAATTTCTACTCCTTGACAGATTTTTACCAATCCATATGAAGGAATATGCAAGCCTCCTAAAAATAAAGTATGCATTAGCATGTATTGAAGTATGCATTTACTTTACCTTTATCCTTGAATGAAATTAAAGAATATGATTCATCATTAATGGCATCCATAGTTGATCTGCATCCCAGTATACATTCTGCACATTTATTACTTTCCTCCAGCATTTTGACTACATAACCACTAATGTAAGTCACAACATTTGATGTTAGTGTATTCAGTTCAACTACACCACTTAATATGTCATAATTATGATCCAACAAAAAATCTGCAGGTTCATAGCTGAACTTCCTATACATGGAGAAATCCACTTCCTCCACAGTTGATTTTACTGAAGTACTGGGTATGGATAATACAGTGGTAGCATCTAAAACCTTACAATTGCCTTCTCCCTGAGAAATTTTTGTATGCAATAATAATCTTCTAAAAGTATTTTTAAACTGTAGACAAGTAGGATTATTATTCCATCCATTTCTACTTCTAAAAAAAATTGGTTAAAAATATTATATAGTTTCAAAAAATTTATATTTAACTTACCTTACAGAACAAAAGAATATTTCTAAATGGTCTTGGGATACCTTGTAAGTCAAAAAATAGTTTAGTTTGCCAGACTTAACAAATTCATCAAAAATTCCACAAACAGACATAGATGTAATGGAAAAACCAATAAAGGGAGTTTTTTTTGGGGTAAGCCATAAAGGTCTTCCCCCAACATCTGTACATCTTGATAAATATTGGACTGTTTCCATTAAAAAAGGCCTCCAAACATTTTCATTTGAAATTCTTAAAGGAGATTTAAATCCTTTAGCCTGTGGACTTCGGGAATTTAAAATATCAAAGAGACAATTCACTTTTCTTATAAAATTTGTAGTGGCTTCACTTTCTTTAAATTCCTGTATACCCATTTTTTTATTAAGAAAATCTATGGCATCAGCAATACTATTACTTAGCGTTTGAGCTGCTAAGTGAACCTAAAATTAAATTTAATGATTTACTGATTTACTTAATAAAAAAACCTACCTTCATTTTTTGCCTATGCCATTCCAAATGTGCCTTTTTAAGTTTATTTGCTATATGTAGGCCCTCATTTTCTTGAAGTTCATATAATTTTTTTATGTATGACCAGCAAATATTATTTCCATTAGGATCTTTTATAATTTGTAAACTTGCAAAATTATTTCTCATAAGTTTCACCATATGACATGCATCTAATATACAAAACACTTTTTGGGAATTAGCAGAGGGGTGATTAAACCAAGTTTTTAAATTATGAACATTATCAAATATACATCCTAATTCTTTCATCATGGCAAAATTTGTACTGGGTCCATCAGATGTGACTGAAGTTATTATTACTCCTATTTCATGCAATCGAATTAGGCTTTCTCGTATTAAATTTGCTTTTTCTTTTGCAGAAAGTGAAACAATAAAAAAATATCCAATGGGTATCTTCCAATGTCCAGTATGACAAACAACCATAATGACTAATACTTCAGTTGCTGGTTGTAATTCGTCATTTTCGGTTGGGACACCAACATTTACATATCCCCACATTTGTTTTCCATCAAATTCCAAACTTTTTTTAATTGACATCTCATCTAATAGGAGAGAACCAAAAACTTCTTTATTGTTGGACTGAGATTCTTCCACTCTTAGCTTCAGAGCATCAAATGCTGCTGAAACAAACCCTGGTTCACAGTTAACATTTTGATACCATTTTCTAACTGTGGCCTGATGAGGCAAAGCCATTGCAAATTCTTTTCTAACCTCTTCATATGCTTTACTGGAATAAAATTGCAAGGTTGCGGCAAATTCTCTTAATACTGGAGGATAAGACTCATGTGTTATGGTTTCATTTTTAATATTTTTTAAATATCTATTCATTAATAGATGGGGAACACTACCATATGTTTTTTCTAAATGATCAGCAGCATTTTCAGATACACTTTGATTTTTTTTTAGATGCTCCATTACCACCTGCATGGTTAAAATTTTATGTTTTAAAGATTTTATTTCTTTATTTGCACCATAAAGTTTTTTCCTATAAGCTGCTTGCCTTTGTTTTAAATCTGTATTCATTTTCTTAACTTTTGAAGGAGATATACTAAAATAAAAAATAATAAATAAAACAACCACAAAAAAGTAATTCAAAATTAATTAAATAATAGTATATTGTAAACCTAGTGTTACAATGACCCTTATTGTGATACCAAGTACTTGGTATCATCTTAACGTTTAGAAATAAATAAAATCCTAAAATAAATGCTTTTAAGAAGTTCTTAAAAGCATCGAAGTAGACAAATATTTTAACTTCACTAAGCATTGCCTACCTATAGTTGTGTATAGTTTTGACAAATTTAATTTTCTTTTGTTTTGCACTGCTGTCAGTACTGGTACTAGCTGCAGAAGTATTTTGCCTTGCTTCTCCTCTACAAATTGAAGGTTATTAAAAATATAAAATTAAAGGCATTTAGTTTATATTACCTAGTTTCAATCTTTCGTTTTCTCCTTATTTGTTTCTTTAATATACTTTCATCTGTTGATGACGTAGACTCTTGAAGTTTAGTTTTAACTTTACTTGTTGATGCCTCAGAATCTGAATACAAAGTTAATGCAGTGCTTATAACCTGACAAGATGGTTTGGATTTTGATTTTTCCAGTTTTAGAGAAGGCACACTATTTAATTTTAAAAACCTTTTGCCAAAACGCATAGCAAAATCTTCGTTTTTAAAGTGCTCCGAACAAATAACTTTATTTTTATTCCAAGTCCAATTTTCTTCTGATTTTCCAATTAAATTAAGCCATACTTTTTGAAGCTCTCCTTTGGGAAACCTTTAAATAGTATAGGTATTATTGTAACTATTGTTTTAAAATGTAAATATGTACTTACACATGAAAACTTATACCCGGGGTTGGAAATTTTCTGTTATTCTTACAGTCTTTTACAGCACAACAAGCCATAATGAAGCACAAAACAACAGAACACTATAGAACAAACCGTTAAATACAAATACTTAAAACGAACGTGAAAAATTATAACCTCGAAACTCGATGTTTACTAAACAAATAACGTCATCGACTAGAAAATGGCAGCCTACAGAGCGTCGGGCAAAAATCGGATGCGCAATGGTCGAAGCTCATTCTCCCCACCTCCATATCTCTGCGCACACAATGCACGGCGTTGAACGCCGTGTGACGCTGCCAGTTGACCAACTTTTTACTTTTACGCCGTCAACGCTGAAAACCTACCTCACTTTCTGTCACTTCGGTCATCTATGGTAAAAAGGCGGCAAAGTTTTAATCTGTCATCTGTTTTGTGAGCTTTAAGCATGATTTATAGATTGTCTTTCTTCCTTCCTCCCGTAAAAGATAAACAATACGAAAACTGTAGTGCCGTTTATAGATTCCCGTACGGGATTGTATTGTTTATCTTCTACTGGAGGTAGGAAGGAAGGAAGGAAGGCAATCTATAAATCAGGCTTTACTCTGTGATATTTGTTCTGTGCATTTGTTCTTTGGTTTGTATTCGAGATGGATAACAGAAAAGTTTTGCAATCTATTAATACAATAGAAGCACCGGCGATGGAAGATTTTGATGAACACCTTGTTCATATTATAAAAAAAGAACGAAATTTTATACATAATGTTAGAGTCCCGTCAGACGGGTCTCCATTGCGCTCCCGTTAAAACTTTGTGACGTCACACACTGTAAATAGGTATTATTTTTCGAGCGATAGGATTATTACAATAAGCTCGGTAACTCGATGGAAGGGCGCCTGCTTTGCATGCGAGAGGTACGGGGTTCGATACTTCGCGCCTCCACAACTTTTTTTAATTTTTTTTTAAAGAATTTATAAACCGAAATAACACAATGTGGCCTTAAAAGCATTTATATTTAATTTTACATTAATATTTTATTTTATTTACCTTTCCTCATAATCATTTTGCTAGTTATATAATATAAAATGTAATTAAATAAATATTCCTTCGTTGAAAAATTTTTACTCAATGGGTCGGGGTCGGTTGGGTTGGGTTGTTGGGTTGGTTACGAAGCGGGCGGACTCGGGACGTTAGTTAAGGAAAAAAGATCTGCTTCCCGTCCTAAGATTGCGTCATTTGATGACGTCACTCTGTTAACGGGAGCGCAATAGAGAACCAGAGACAAGGGAGAGAGAGACGATTATTTAAATAGGAATTTCGGTCAACAATTTATATGCGCAGGGCTGCACACAGATTTCAATGTAAATTGGTTTCTGCACATTTGTTGGCAGCCCTGCACTGAAAAGGCGCAATTATGTTCTTTACTGTCATTTTCTGTCGTCTGCAGTGATGCCAGATATACGGATTTTTCCGTATTCTACGGAATTTCGAGTGTATTGGGAAAATATACGGATTTTTATACGGATTTTGGGGGCAATACGGATTTTATACGGATTTATAACAAATCCAAATTTTATACCTAAATTATCGCCAACTCTGTAGTTACAGCCTTTCGTTCTTTGGGGTAATTTTTCCCCAAATATTTTTAGGCTAAAAATCTTTTTTTTTCCGGTTTTACTTATCCACAAGACTGAACTAAATACAGTTATCTGTAAATTACAGACTGTAATAGACAGGTTGCTGTAATGCATATTATTAAAACTATAGGAATCTGCACTTTTGACAGTTGAAGTTTAGTTTCAACATACTATTCTCTGTTTACTTGAAACTTTCAAGTAAACAGAGAATAGTATATACCTAATACTTGAAATCGTCAAACTTTTCACTCGAGCGGAATATGCAATTCCAAACTTGTACCATAAAAAAATAATTTAATTAGCAGAAAGTGAAGTTTGATTTATCTAAAATTTGTTAGATATTAAACACAGAGATGTCGCCACCAGTGTTTAATACGTCATCCGATAGAATAATTAATTCTGTAATACTCTAAGGAATATATGAGTATATTAGATGCAAAACTCGGTTTTTGCAAATTTAAAAAAAAAAAAAATTGGCTTTAAATTCTGTTTGGTGTTCGTCCTAGATAAATGGAGTTTATAAAACTTGATACATAATAATATATATAATATAATATTATTATGTATCAAGTTTTATGAACGCCATTTATCTAGGACGAACACTAAACAGAATTTAAAGTCAATTTTATTTTATTTTTTAATTTGCAAAAACCGAGTTTTGCATCTAAGGTACTCATATGTCATTCCACATTAAAAAGTGATATTAGAACGGTTATATTCCATATAATAGGAGTAGAAAAAAATAATTAAAAGAATTGCCTTCTTGCTCAAGAGTTAAAAATTAAATTATACTACGTTTTTTATTCTAAAAAATAAATCATCAACATGGAAATTAAATTTCCCCTAAATTAGTCTAATTATTGATAAAAAAAATACGTAATAAGTGTAAAATACGAAATACGGAATTATACGGATTTTTTTTCTTAATCCCCACCATACTACTAGGTAAAATACGGATATTCAGCGCTAAAGATCTGGCATCACTGGTCGTCTGTCAGTCTGCTGTCAGTAAATACTAAAAGTGCTTCTGTGGTTTTGTTTATAAGTTTTATTGATAAGTTATTACCTATACCTCGTTATATTTAGCAGATTGTTAATTGTTGTTAAATGAAATTATTTAAGGTCAAAGTAAATAAATTAAAATATGTAGGTATGTGTGATAAAATAATTTTCTTCTCTTATTCAATTCGATTAGTTTTTAGAGTGTTTTTTTGTGTTGTTAATTAAGTTTTTGCTTTAAAATATTTTCGTGTAGGTATGTTTATTTCAAATTTAAATATAATTAATATTTTGATATTTTTACATTATTTTTCTTTCTATTTTTGTCTATAAATTATTTGTGTTCAATGTTATTTTTGTTCCTGTTTTTTATTGGTTTACATGTTGTAAATAAAATAATTTTAATTTAATGCTATTTTAATTTTTTTAAACATGATATCTACGAAAGATCCTACTTTGTAATTCAATCGGTGAGATTAAGAACAGTACAAGTCCAAAATATTTATTTTTACAAATTATTTTCTAAAATTAATTTAAAAGTTTAAAATGAGTTTTTGTGAGAAGATTTATATTATTTTATAAAATATTATTATTATGTTTTATAAAGTATTTAGTTGAAATATTTTCACAAAAATGCTTTTTGAACTATAAAACTGACTTTATAAAATAATTTGTCAAATTTTTTGGACTTGTATGGTTCTTAATCTCACCGATTCATTTGTAGCAAACAAAAATTAAATGTTTAAAAATACCGCGCAAAATTTTTTTAGCATTAGTTCTCGCAGCCCCCGGCGAGGGCGCCACATTTATTGTTTCCAATGTTTATATGGGAATCGTTCGTCTCTCTCTCCCTTGTCTCTGTAGAGAACCGTCTGACGGGACTCTAGAAGCGGCGAATTTTATATAACAAAAGGTGTAATGGTTATAAAAATATAACCCTAAATACATAAATTGTAACACAATTAAAAATTCTCAACACCCACCATGGAGCCTATAGGCTCCATGATGACAACAAACAACAATGTAAGAAAATGCCAAATTTAAATATCAAAATTTGTTACGTTATAGGTTATTTATTTTACGTCAGACTGGATAGAAAAAATACAGGAAGTCCCTGTCTGACGTAAAATAAATAACCTATAACAAATTTTGACATTTAAATTTGGCATTTTCTATCATTGTTGTTTGTTGTTATGATGATTAAGAATTAAACTATTACTTTGTTATGAGGCAATGTTGCCTTATTAAATAATGAAAAAAGAAATTTTTTAAACAATTTTCTGGAATTGGGGTCTTTAGATAATACACCTTCATTTTGTCGCACTAATTGTGGGACACCCTGTATATATATATATATATATATATATGTTCTTTGGATGGCATCAAAATTGCGACGTTGCCGAATTTCTCTCGAGGTATTTTGAATTGGTTGATGGTCTAAGGTTGGTATAATTGTAACGTGGTGTTTTCAGTACATGAATGAAAAACGGTAAATTTAGGTTTTTTTATTTTACCAGTTGCGGGTGTGTTTTGTGTTGTAAGTGGCGTTAAATGGGCGAGCGATAATAAAAATCGTGTTTTGTTTTGATAAATTTAATATTGTGTTTGTATAACATTTAAACACTATGTGTAAAAGTAATAGTTAGACGCAATGTTTCGTTGTATACCAATATTTAAAGGCTGTAACAGACAAGTTGAATTTGTTGATAAAAGACACTGTTCCTTACCAAATGTTCCAGAGGATATTTTGCGTTATTCAAGAAGTTTAGAAGAACTCTTACTTGATGCCAATCATATTAGAGATCTTCCAAAGGTACATAACAATTCTATTTTATTTTGGTGTTAATTTTAATTTTTATATTTTAGAATTTCTTCCGTTTACATAGACTAAGAAAGCTTGGTTTAAGCGATAATGAAATTCACAAACTCCCTCCAGACATTCAAAATTTTGAAAATCTTGTGGAACTTGATGTTTCCAGAAATGGTATGTTTAAGTTGATATTTTGTTATTTTTGTTTATTTATTTGGTTATTTTTGATACGTACGCTATGAAAAGATAATGTAAGAAAGGAAAAACATTTATCTATAAACAGTAGTGTCCAATATTTTGGTCATTTTTCAACGTTTCAATTTTCTGACCGAAAACTCAGTAAATACATCTTGGCTGTCAAATTTCAAAACCAAGGTGCTAGTAGCAACCAGTGTTACCAGATTCTGTCAAAAAAGGACCGTACGTTTCGTTTGAATTTACCTTAATTACAAAATGACACAATGAAACAATACAAATAAATGCAATTATGTCAAGTTGACGTTATTTAATATTGTCCATTGAGTCATTTTTGTAATTAAGGTAAATTCGAACGAAACGTACGGTCTTTTTTTGACAGAATCTGGTAACACTGGTAGCAACTGACATTTTTGGAAGGTTGAATGATATTGTACATTAAATACCTTTTTTCTACTACCTTACTAGAAAACTTAATTTTCCACCCCCGAGTGAGGGAGAAAAATGCCTCTTTTCCTCCCCGAGAGGAAAAAATTTTCCTCCCTCTTTTTTTTTTAACAATTTTAAATTAGCAAGAGTTTTTGTACCTTGTCTAGCCCTATTTGATTTTGTAGGAAAAACATTTACTCCGCACTTGTCCAACCATTCTTTTAAAAAACTTTATTCATTTTCATATCGCTCTTTCAATTTTTAAGGAAGGAAATTAATTGCAACTATTCTTGCCTCTTTAGCAAGATCTTTCGGCAGGTCTTCTTTGCTAGAACTCATTTTCAAAACGTAGGAAGAATTTTAAATTTATGATAAACATTCTGACAGCTTATAAAAACTGTTATGTAACATAACTTATGTTTGTATTACCAAAAATACCATAGCAACAAAGCGTTGTCAACATAACGTCGGCGACGCAACACCTACTTAATATTTTTTCATAATTTTATAGCCTCATACCGGGTTAGTAAAAGGAACCGGAACGCTTAAAATGTCTTAAAACCGATAAAACTATATCATACCTCAGGAGGAAAATGCGTTTCATCCCTTGAATATTTAATGCCCTTCGCTTCGCGTCAGGCATCAAACTATTCGCGGGAGGAAAAGCACTATTTTCCTCCCATGGTATGTAAATTGCTATTTTTTATACCTTGTTCAAAAGTACTTACTTTTGTCCCTAATAGCAGGGACAAAAGTTTAACATTTACTCCCTGTGTCAGCTTCGCCTCGGGCATCATGACGCACAGGGCCGAAAATTCAACTTTTGGCGCTTGTAATATACTATTAGTGTTGGGATCGCTCAAGTGAAAAACTGCTTGAGTACTTGATTACTAAAATAACTGACATTATTCAATTAATGAAACAACATCTCAAGATATAAACTCAATTCGTCGCTCAAAATCTACCGAGCACTGAGTCAAAACTTAATCTTCACTCCTCCAAAGGCTCACTTGAAATACGTCTTTGTTAATAATAATAATAATAATGTTTAACTCCAAAAATACCACTTACATTAGTATTGTAACATTACACTATAGTAATATACTAATAGTAATAGTCAATCCATATGAGAACGCCGAAAATCGTTGCTCGACCACCTTGGATTTTGCTCAAATTTTATAGAAATATTTATTAGGGTCCAAAAGGACAAAATCCACCCTTTTTTAATTTTTCGCAAGTGTCAAATCCGGCCTATTCGAATTAAAACTTTTTAAAAACGTTATTTTTATGCTTTAATAATTTTAAGCTGTAACTTTTTTTCTATTAAAGATATTTTAAATTTTAAGATGTCATTTTTAAGCTAAAAAATAGTAGTTTTTATAAAAAATATATAAATTCACTCAATCAATAGGTATTTCTAAATAATTACACGGTGCTAAAAAAACGTGTATTTTACTAATTTTTCGTGTTTTTTAAATGCGTCCCATGTCTTGGCTGTTTAATATGAATAGTTAATTTTTTTCATATATTAAGTTTACATACCAAAGACAAAATAAAACTTACAAATAACCCGTTTGGCATACGGTTTCCAAAAAAAAATTGCTTGAAATTTTGAAATTCTAGAAAATAACATTATTTAGGCCATTATATGAGGATGTTGACTTCCAAATAGAATTATGAAATTTACAGTATAATTAGTCCCTACCTTCATGGGCGCCGCTACATAAGCGCAGGGGGGGCCGGGCCCCCCCGTGGAAATTCATACCCAGAAATTCCGGTACTTACTTGACGGTAAGTGCTGATCGTTATCACTTGTTCATTATATTTTAATTTATCATAATTTGTATAACGTATACATAAGACGGCTGTACTACTAGAGGAGATTCCTCGGCGATACAATTTTTTTATATTTATATATTTACCAAAAAACTGTGATGTATTTTTTGCAATATGTACCAATATAAATAAATAGGTAAATATACATATAAAGATGATATTTTATTTGACTTAAGTTTAATGTAAACTTCTAGTACAACTTGATTATAAATAATCAAAATTGTAAAAAACTTTAAGGCCCCCCCCCCTAGACGAATTCCTTCTGGCGCCCATTCCTACCTTGATGTTCAAATGCCTGGTAGTTTGGTTTTGTATGAAATTAACAGGATATTTAGTCCTTACCTTGAAGTTTAAATGCCTATTTAACTTGTTTTGATATTTTCATCCATTTTGCTTTTAGATGGTCTTTAAAAGAAGCAAACATATTGAAATTTAAAAAACGATTATTGTTTAATTCTCTATTCTAAGAATGTTTTGACTTCAAAATAGAAACATGAAACTTACAGGATATTTAGTCCTTACTATGATGTTTGAGCAAAATCCAAGATGGTCAAGCAACGAGTTTCGGTTTTTTCATATGGATTTACTCAATAGTTTACAACCATACATTCATCAATCAAACTAATTTACAGGTACAAAATAACACAGTAATAATGATAATAATGTGAAGACTGTCACACCATACATCCAAGCAATCAATCACTAAAAGAGTAAAGCTGAGAATTAAAAGATCTAAATGAACAATGGAATAGTATATTCTGTAACAAGTTTGGAATACAGCATTTTCCGCTCGAGTAAAGAGTTTGTCACACAAGCCGAAGGCGAGTTTGACGGTTTCACGAGAAAGTAATATGCACTTCCAAACGTGTTTCAGACTATACTTTTTCTACGTTTCCAAAAAATACCATGGAAAAATAATTTAATTGAAAGAAAGTTAGGTTGGATCGGTCTAAAATTGGTTAGATATTAAAAACAGAGATGTCGCCACGAGTGTTTATTCTGTCATCCGATGATAAAATATTTCATTCTGTAACACTTTACGGAATATATGTCATTCCATAGATAAAAGTGATATTAGAACGGTCAAATTCCGTAATAGGAGTAGAAAAAGTTTATTGCAGGGAGACTATTAAGTACAGACTTTAAAGACTCGACTTAATGCATATAAAATAACACAACTGGGAATCTCCAATAACATGGTGTTTCCTAAATTCCTTGTTGGTATTTTTATGTTAAAAGACACCAGAATTTCAGATGACTAAATCAAGCTATTAAAAACCTTGAAGAGGAAGCAAGCATCTTTATTAAACCTACGCCTTTTAAGGGAATTTAAACCCAAATACTATGGCACAGTGTCACTGAAGGGTCCGCAGGTTTCACAGGCACCAAAAACTATAGACACATTTAAAATAAGGACACTTTCCTTAAAACATATCTACTAATATTAAAATCGAACCTCATTCTTCCCGCGTTTATTCTGTGTTTTTGTAGTTGTTAGAAAAAGGCTAAAATAGCTATATTAAAATTCTGTGTTATTTTTTTGTATTAATCGGTATCAAAAAACATCATAATTTTCAACTGTAAACAAATATCCGATAACTAGGCCAACAATTAATTACAGTATATTAATATAAAATAATTATTCTATACAGAGTGTTATGTAATTAATGTAATATACTAGGACTAAAAATAATTTATAATAACCTTTATCCTACCAAGAAGTACGCCACTGATCGACTAGGAACTTTAGGCTAATCTGGTTGCCTAATTTAATTTATTATGTTATGGTTGGTAACAGAGCTGTGCGGTACTCGAGTAATTGTACTAAAATTTTGTACTTAAGTACTTTTTATGTACTCGCTACTCAGTCCAGAGTACATTTAAAAAAAAGTACTTGTACTTATTTAATTTAAAAATGTAAAAATGGACACGAGTACATTCGTTGTACTCAAGTACATTGTTTGTACTCGAGTACTTTTTGTACTCGGCATCTTTGTGTTAAGTTAACTTACTGCATATTTAAATTTTTCGTCATAATTTTAAATTAATTTTTTTAATGCTTTAGCAGGTTTAACGGTTTGGCAATATTCGGAATAAATCCTCGATATGGGCAAGTTGGTAAAATACCATTGTGGTGCCCTACTTTATAGAGATATTACATATTGCAATAGGTAGTGCCCTTTTTTATCTCTGGTAGTTCCGTCATAATATGTCATATTATGTAACGGTTTTTTTTAAGAAATTTGAGATTATTCTGCAATACAGAATCTGCATTAGTATTATTTTAAGTGTTTTGTTTTTTATTATACTGGGGTAAGTAAGATTTTAAATATTATTTTGTATTTGATTACCTACTCGATTAAGTTTTTGTTATATTTGTTAAGCTTAAAAAATTAGGTTATATTTTTGCATTCAATCTTTTTTTTTGCAGTCATAAATGCGTGTTACTTTAATTTAATTTCGTGCTTGCAGTTGAATAATGTTAAGGCTATTTATTAAATAAAATATGTAATAAATTACTTGCATAAATAGGTATACCTATAGGTAATAAGGGTTATATGTAAAAGAATAGTTAATCTATTTTAATATTATTTTCTTCTGTTTAAAATCGAAATAATTGGTTATTTGGAAAAAAAATATTCAAATCATAAATAAATACGTGTATTAAAGAAATATAAAAATGCAGTTTTTTTTTTAAATATCCCTATAGTGAC